GATGCTGCTTGGCCTGCTGTGTTCGTCCAGCTCTACACCTTGTTATCTCAGATTCTCCAGCATCGGCAGTTCCTACTATCTCTGCCAATCTTACTGGCCTGACATAGTCATACTCACAGAATCATACCTTACAGACAATTTCCCAGACACCACCATCACCATCCCTGGATCTGTCCTGTCCAACCCGCAGGACACACCCAGTAGAGGTGGTGCCACAGTGGGATATAGTCGGGAGGGAGTTGCACCAGGAGCCCTCAACATTGACTGTGGAACACATGAAGCTTCATGGCTTCAGGTTAAACGTGGGCAAAGAAACCTCCTGCTGATTACCACATACCGTCCTCCCTCAGCTGATGAATCAGTCTCTCCTCCATGTTGAACAACACTTGGAGGAAGCACTGAGGAGGGCAAGGGCACTAAATGTACTCTGGGTGGGGGATTTCAATGTCCACCACCAAGAGTGGCTCAGCAGCAGTACTACAGATCGAGCTGGTTAGGTCCTAAAGGACACAGCTGCTAGACTGGGTCTGTGGCAGGTGGTGAGGGAACCAACAAGAAGGAAAAACATACTTGACCTCATCCTTACCAATCTGCCAGCTGCAGTTGTATCCGTCCATGACAGTATTGGTAAGGGTGACCTAAAGAGACTGAAAAGAAAAATCAATCAGCCAGTATTCCAGTTACTGACTGTCAACAATCCAACCAGTAACGATCATTAACTAGTAATATGACTAGTTGTTAACCAGCATTAACCAATGCTGTTATGATGGATCCTTAGTCAGTACCCTGTTCATAGCCAGTAATTGATGGCGCTATTACTGACCAGTAACCAGCACACTCTTACTAACGATTAACCAGAGCTGTTATTAGATTCAATGAAGCTTTACGATTTGAGGGACTGGTTCAAGTCTGGGATGAATTCTGGGATTTGGAGAAAGGGTGGGGATTTATGAAGGAGTGTGAGGAGAGGGACATGGAGTATGGAAACAGCTTAGACCCGGGTTTGGATGTCTAAGGCTGAACTTGATGTGAAGTGTGAAGAGGCCAGGATTGGACCTGAGCCAGTTGTTTGCCAATGTAACAGCTTCAGAAAATAGCCTTTAACAGGTTGAAGAGTCTATTGATTCTCCTTATTGTTTTTTTTAGGGAGCAAAGGAGTGAAGGTGAAATAGTGTTAGAGAAAGCTGAGAGTTTACTGAAGAAGCTGCCTAAAACAGTGGAGGGGATACATGGCTCAGACGACAACTTACTGGACTTAGCTTGTCTTCTGGCTTCACCTGTGTGGACAACATACATTCAGTCAGTGAAAGGTGAGGCTTCCTGGACAGATATCTGGCCATATCCCCACGATCCAAGCTATGAGCTAGCACTGAGGTACAGGGCTGAATGGAGTGACTGCCAAAGACAGGAACCGTTCCTCAATGTCAGCAGGTCATGTTCCTCAATTAATAACAAAAACAGAAGTTGCTGGAAAAGCTCAGCAGGTCTGGCAGCATCTGTGAAGGAAAAAAAGCAGAGTTAATGTTTCGGGTCCGGTGACCCTTCCTCAGAACCGGACCCGAAACATTAACTCTGTTTTCTCTTCACAGATGCTGTCAGTCCTGCTGAGCTTTTCCAGCAACT